AAGGGAAGAGATAAAGCATGGGTAGTGATTTTCACTTGCGCTGTTTATCGTGATATCCACTTGGAGTTAATAACAGCTCTTACCACCGGAGCTTTTTTACAATCTTTGTGACGATTTTTTGTCAGGAGAGATAGATGCAGTGTTCTATACACAGACAATGGAACGAACTTTCTAGGAGCTTCAAGAGCGTTGAAATCTCTCGACTGGGAAAATATTGCAGCTGAATGTGCTGTAGAAAACATAAAATGGCATTTCAATCCGCCAACAGCTTCGTGGTATGGAGGTTGGTGGGAGAGGATGGTTCGCACCGTAAAGCAACTACTTAAGAAAAGCTTAGGCCGCGCTTGTATCACGTATGAAGAAATGACTACGTTGCTCTGTGAATGTGAGAGCGTGGTCAATGGACGTCCTCTCACATATGTGTCAGATGACCCCAATGAGTTAAAACCTCTCACACCTTCACACTTTATCCAAGATATCAAAGGAAATGAAACAGTGGATTTAGACATCATAGATGCTAAACATCTTCGAAAACGCATTCGCTATTTACAAAGTTTACGAGATCAGTTGCGACAGCGATTTAAGGAAGAGTACTTGGCTGAACTCGTGCGATGTCAAAAAACCTCGAATCAGAAAAAACTGGCTCCAGGAGATATTGTTCTCATTGGTTCGGATGACAAAAAGCGTCTGAATTGGCCATTGGGACGAGTTATGGAACTTTTTCCTGGTAAAGATAACATCCAACGAATAGCAAGGGTGCGTATAGCAAATCGAGAAATCATCCGTCCAGTGCAACGCATTTACCCTTTAGAGATGAACGAATCAGAAGTTTGCAGGGAGGTTCCTGAATCATCCGAGAATGTAACCGTTGATTCAGGCGATAAGAGAATATTTATTCCTGAATTATCTCAAAAGGCTTCAGAACAAGACACTTTTCAATGCAGTAATAAACGAACTCGTTATGGACGACGCATTGTTCCCTTGAATAGACTGGACTTATAAACTTTATTAGAGACTTTAATTCTATTTTATTTCAGCTTGGATAAATTTATTGTTTATACTGTCAAAGGGTAAGTTCTTTTTATTTTTGTATTGCTCTAGAACCAGTTTAGCGGCAATACAAAAGGTGGGAGGATGTTGTGACTCAAACGATATTTATTTTGTATTTCCATGACAACGAGATATATAATGTTTGGTAATCTGGCAACAAGACAATTGTTGTGTTCTAAATTTACGTTGCGTTAAGGAGTTACGTTAGAATTTGTTACTCTCTGGAAATATGTGTTTACGTTCTTTATAATATATTAATTCTTCTGTAAATAACATTTATGTGCCGTCTTATATGTTTTAATAAACCATTGGAAAACGTATATCAGCTTCTTAGTTAGAACACCAGTAGTGTCTATTATCGAAATTGGGTATTATTGGTGTCTGTAATAGAAAGGCGACTTCATACGGTTCCCCGTACAGAATAAGTGTAGAGTCTATCGTTCACCCGCAATCTTGTATACAGACACATACACAAATAATTCTATTATTTGTGTATGTTATTAATCTATTATTATTAATCTATTATTAATCTATAATAATTATTAATCTATTATTAATCTATAATAATAATTAATAAAAAAATAGTGTATTATATGTAAGGATTGCACAAATTCAAGACTTAGGTCAGTTAAAATTTCAACCTCTGGGTCTCAATATTAAGGAAAAAAAGCTTTAAATAGAAAAACTTTTTTCGTCTAACGAAGTTACATATAAATGTTAGGCTTAAGTCTATTTTAATTGCTAGTTGAACGCGTCAAATAATTGTAAAGACTAATTTTGACTTTTTAAAAGTTTTTTTTTCCTTTATTGTTTACTGCTTTAGATCTGTGTATTCTTTTAACTTAGAAGATTATAACAGTTAAAATTTCGTTTCATTTTAGAGAAAAACCCTTTCAAATGAAATTCGTTGGTTCGCATAATTAATAATGGAAAACAAGTACTCAGTTTGATTTTGACAAAATTTTTGATTTAATTTATCATCCATTTAAGAAAAACATTGAGGTAAATCGCATATTTGTTTGTTTTTGTTTCTTTTATTGATATCATAAACAGTGCTAAACATTCCTAATAAGGAAATCCCCACGATACCATGCGAACAACTAAGGAACAGGAATTCATGATGGAACCACTGGCAACTAAATAATCTATAATAATAAATTAACAGTTTCTCCGTCTGTGTATGTCTCTCTCTTATAACTTACGAACCATTGATTCTATTATCCCAAAATTTAGACTGCGGCTGATAATGGGAAACTTTACCATCAATCCTAAAATTTGTTCAAAATTTTACTTCATAAAATTTTACTCAAGTACTTTGTGCTGTAGAGCCGTTTGAAAAATTAACTTTTCGCATAGGTAAAAGATTAGACATTTTAAATAAAATTATTGAAGCGCTTAAGATGATGATGAATGACGGGTATTTTTGATGGTGTCTATTTTTTCAAATAAATTAAAGGTAACATTGGTGGTATTTGATAGCTTATATCTTTATTTGATGCAGAAAGTAGTTTATTGTTCGTTCGTTAATATTTAATTATTTTTTTATCCGTTCTGCTAGATAAACTAAATGGTCAATTTAAAGTTGGTGGAGTTATGCTCAGTATGTTACCATAATATTATGATAACTTAACATATCGCCCAACTAATATTGACACTTACTGATTAATTAAATTTGCTAATAAGTTGTAGCGGAGGCCAATATGCGCCAAAATACAGCGCCACCTATAATTAATTTTTTATATTATTTATTTTTTTATTATTTTATTACTGTACCACTGAATGCCAACTTCTATAGTTTTTAGTTTTACTTCTCTGATGTGAAATAAATATACAGCAATCAGAGCTCATATAAATCTTTTTAGGCTAAATTAAGCCTTACCTATTGACACGCAGTGCTATAAGCGAAAGCAGAGAGCACACCGCACTTTACTATACTCAATACTAAATGTATAGTTCTTTTTCCTGGTGTTTTCTAGTACGTCAATTTTTATCCATTTACACGTAAATGCAAGCAAAGATAATTTAATTTTTTTTGAACGAAAAAGAAAACTTCATTGGGAACAAAAACAAACACATGAATACAAAGAATACAGCATATTCGTCGCCAGGAGGAAAATCCTGTCCAGGCGACTAAGAAAGGTAACATAAGAAATTCATTTGGATTGGCACAAGACTGGTATAAAAAATCAAATGCTTTCTTTAAATTGAAAAACCCTTTTCCTGAAGTTTTCCTTTACCTTCTTAAGTAATAATAGAAATAAAAAAACTATGCTTACTAAATAACAAAATTACTGGAGAATGGCAGTAAAAAATCACCATACTATTATTGATACCAACCCTGCTTAATTATTATTGGTAATATGCATTAATTGAAAAGAAAATCAGCTAAGTACTAAAAAGCAAAGTAAATGGAGAAAAATTAGTTATTTATTAATTAGAACCGTAAAAATACGCCCGACTTTAATTGAAGCCAATTACGCTTAATTATTGTTTTATTACAGATTAATTGAAATAAAAGAAAACAACTAAGTAGTAAAAACCTAAGTTAATAAAGAAAATATACTTATTCTTTTTGACGAACCGTGAAAATTCACCATATTATTATTGATCTCAATGCGTAATTAATTTCGGTAATGAGTATCAATTGAAATGCAAAATGAGCTAAAAATAATAAATAAATAATAATAAATAAATAATAACAAATAAGATAAAAATAATAAAAATCATTAAATTAAAAGAATAGTGCGTGGAGTCCCTCCGCGCTGAAAAAGTTGAACTTCGTAACCTGCGACGTTAATTGTAGAAGAATCAGCAGTCGTAGAAGGATCACTAGTTCTATTTAACGACTCTTTTTCCTGCTCCACTTGCTTCCGTGCTCTGTAATCACGGTAATATTGTGCATTTTTCACTCGTTGACCTCTTGAACCAGTGGAAGTGCTTGTGGTTGCCTCATCGTCTCGCCCTGGAAAAATGTAGTTGTATTAATAATGTATGTGAATGCGTCATAATGTAATTTCAGAAGAGAAAACCTAACAATCAATTGATATTCACAAGAGACGTACCTTGACATAACCTTAAATCCGTCGCATTGTCCGTGGGATTGTTTTCACTCATTTTTTACAATTGTTATCCACTAAATTTGAGAATAAAAAATACTACTCTATTAAATTACGTGTGTATTAAAACAAACTAAAAAAATATTTATAGTAAAACAATACTTTTATGACTTTTATTATTTTTATGTTAGTAAGAACCAAAACATTATGGAAATAAATGAGGGAAAGCTTGATCCTACCACGTGATTTCCCGGTCAATAAAAATGTGGCGTTAAACGCAACCTTGGTCGATTGTTATTGTTGTAGTTGTTCATTTACGTCGCACTAGGCTGCACAATAGGCTATTGGCGACGGTCTGGGAAACATCCCTGAGGATGATCCGAAGACATGCCATCACAATTTTGATCCTCTGCAGAGGGGATGGCACCCCTGCTTCGGTTGCCCGACGACCTGCACGCGAAGTTGAGCACTTTACGGTAGAACAGTTTAACGAGGACCAATACCGCACAGCCTCGGTCCCTACGCAGATTGATCCAAGTGGCAGCCTTGTTGGAAGTCGCATAAGAAGTATAACTTCAAAAAAGCAAATTAAATGGAGAGAACATACTTTTTCGTTAAGGGAAATTAGATAAAATAACCATACTAATATTGACGTGTATGGCTCTGTGATAGGTACTTTATCTATGTCACACTAGGGCTGCACAATTGGATATTGGCTACGGTCTGGGTAACATCCCTAAGGATGAACCGAGGACCGGCTATCACAATTTTGTGAGATCACTTCCTAAATTTAGACATAGATCTGCAGGGGAATAGAATTATCTCCAGATCCCTGTACCCATGGTACTGTTCGACATCCGTCCACAGGACGTTCAATCGCATGCGTCGGTGGAACGCGTATCGCATGCACTCGGTGGAAGTCGAGGATCGAACCCAGTCCCCTCTTCACCAAAGTTCGATTCTCTTGCCACTGGTAGACAATAGCGTTAATTAATTGTGGTAATACTCACTACTGCTATTATGGTAACTCTTACTATTTTAGTAAGGAATTGTACTATGGATTTTCCTTAGTTTCAGAAAATATATTTTTAGTAATAGCAAATATGATAAATTAAATTTGAAGTAGGTTATAATTTTAAAAACTGAAGCAATTTGAGTAATATATTGTAACCATGCTAATTATAAATATCTTTCTAAATAATTTTCATCGGAAAAATAAATTCATTTCTTATTTTAACCTATATGATTTAGTCAGAGTTAAACAGACTTAACATTTGCAATTAAAAGCGTATTTTTAGTTTTTTTAAAAAATATTTATTTTTGCTGTATCATGGCTAATTGCCTGACTCTAAAATTTTGTTCTCGAATAATATATTAAAAAAATATTATTCCACATTTTTATTAATTACAGTATCATATTAAAAGAAATATTTTACTTCAGTTATTAATTCCATAAAACATTTCATCATTTTTCTATTCATCTATTTTTCCATAAAAATCGTCAAAATCTATACCTTATGATGTCCATGATGAGTAGATTTGACACACGTACATCACTACAGCTGTAGCAACTGTATTTATTATACAGTTCAGAAGTTAATAGTATGGGTATAGTGATGTCAATAGAACGGAGATTTGATCACGGATATCGACAATAGTGTTGATATTATCATTCAATTATGCTATGATATTATGATTATTCAATTCTGATTTGTATAATATATGGACATACCGATGATGATATCATCCTGATAAGCGTGGGCCAAAACTCATGATATCAAGGAGATCATCTTGTGTAGGGTCCATCCCCGACTGAAAGAAAGTCAAAAGTTGAGCAAGAGGGATCAAAAACCCTTTCCTTTAATCAATAGTTAATGTCTTCAGTAATATTTTTAG